TTATGAGCCAGTTGCACTGGAAGTCCTCAACATTGATTCCAACCCCATGGATCTGAAGACATCAGGCCAAACAGTGATAAAGAAACTTTCTGCTGTTCAACAACCATCACTCCCACTTGAGAGGATGCATTCAAGGTGGAAAGGCGACAGATTATACTCTAGATGGGCCTTCAATGTCTAGTTTTCAGTCCAGTCAATTAATTACTTTTGAAATTAGATCACTTATCTGGCGAGACACATCAGCAGGGCCCACACAGTAAATGAAGTATGATTTGTGAATCTGTTTTTGTATCAGCATGGTTTAAGGTGTTAATGAGGACAAAACGGGAAATGGCAGAGATATTCAACTCAGGCAGCATTTGTTGTAAGAGCACACATTGATATTTCGGGTCCTTCCATTACACCGGACCATACTTTCCCTTCCTGAAGAAAGGTCATTAACCTTTTTCTCTTAGCAATGATGTTAGCTGATTGTTTCTAGCATCTTGTTTTTATTCCAGATCTCCAGTGTAGTGTTTCGCTTTAGAGAAACAAGCCCTGCTGTTCTTCAATGTCAGGGGATAATTTATACAATTTCGACAGAAAGGTGAGACTTCGGTGTTGCCTGTAAAATAGTCTATACAGACACTTCAATCAATTTATTACTCGCCAAACATGTTTGCCCAGGTGCTGTTACTGTACAAGACAAACAAAGGACTGTGGTTCAAACTTAGTTTTATTAAAACGCTTGCAAGTTAAAGAAACAACTCTTACACAATCAAGTTAACTTTTCCAAAACTGGGCTGACTGCTTGAAAACACATACGACCTGATCTGGTGAACTTGACTGGGCTGCTGGATGCAATTCACGGATTTCTGTCGACTGGGCATTCAGGGTCTTCTTAGTACAAAGGTGGTCTCGCACAGAGTCTTCACCAGCGGAGTCTTCACTGAGGAAATGGCCACCAGGTGGCCCTTTTTACCCCACTTTCTCAGCCCTTCTCAAATGTTTGAATCATAGAATCCCGACAGTGCAGACAGAGGCCATTTGGCCCATTGGGTTTGCACTGACCCTCCGAAGAGTATCCCACCCAGACCCATTCACACCTGATCTCCTTAATCCTGCATCTACCACAGCTATCCGCCTAATCTGCGCATCCCTGGACTCTATGGGGCATTTTAGCATGACCAATTCACTAACCTGCACATTGCTGGACTTGTGGGAAGAAACTGGAGCACCCATGCAGACATAGGAAGAACTTCAGCCAATGGGGTTACAGAACCCAATGGGTTTAAGTCAGGTCATCCTCGGTGTACCCATCCCCTTTCCAAGATTTGCTTACTCCATGGTGCGAGGGGACTGGCCAAAACAGGGGAATACACAAACGTAATGTCTCTCTCAATTGAACTTGCTTAGAACCTCTTAATGGGTTTCGGGTCACAATGACTTGCCCACTGTTCAATTTGCAATACAGGTCTGGTCCAATCCTTGTTTACTTTTAACCTATGGTAACCTTGGCCTCTTTGCATTCCATCAGGCTTTATTTGCATAAACTGTTTAGCCAATTTTATGTTGGACCAAGTTACTTAGGCCATCGGCAACTTGCCATCACTTTGATGCTTCAGCAGAAAAAACTATTACTAATGCAACAGTTTGAATACTACACTGAAGTGTTAGCCTGCACTCAAGTCCCAGAGTGTAAGCTTGTCACTGGTATCAGGATGACTATACCACACTAGCTATTTCTTAATTTCAGTGTTACCAGAACATATGAAAAAAATTGAAAAACTGTTGTTTATTCTTTCTTGACTTTCATTATTTTTTAATGTGATTTATAAATAACAAAAATACAGAAGTACAAAATGCTGTTTTGATTCAAGATCCAGAAGGAAAGATCAAACATGGTCAGGTGGTCTTAACAATTATGATCTTCCAATTTGATTTGGTAACAGAATAAAGGTTGACATGCTCAAGTCCGTTTAACCTTCATGTCATAGTTTTGTGTTCTTTTGATTTAAACTAACAGGACTGCATTAATACAGCCATCATTTTCTGGATTATTTGTTACTTGTGCATATTTACCTGAAAGGAAAGAAAATGTATTATTCTGACTAATGCCCACAGTACTTAAATATATATTGCATAGTAAATAGTTTGGGTTACAAAACATTACACAAATTTTATTTTATAAATCCTAGATACACACAATCGATGAGTAAAAGAAACATCTCCCTGCAGTTATTATAGGCCCCTAGCCATTCTAATAAACTCTGAACTACTTTGCGGTAATGCTAATACCCCAGTACAGAAGCCAGCTGTTTACAGTGCATCATGTAGACAATGGCAAGTGATAGTGGCAATCCACATTGTTAGAAGATGGTTACGGTGTTAGTTGCAATCAGAACAGCTGCAATAAAGAAATATTGTTCAGCAAGATATGGCTGTGATACTGCAAGTATCATGCTGCACTTACACGCCCAATGTACAACTGATTTAAACTAAGCCAGTCCCAGCACACACTATGTCAGAAGTACAATGACCTACTGATGGTGGAACAGTAATATGTGCCTCTCAGAAGATGAAATAGAAGAGTTTCTTATCCCAAAATCAAATAACTACATATATTGCTACCAGTGTTCCCTCTAATTTTATTTTAAACTAGCTGTGTGGTCCTCCGGAACCATCATTGATCACTGTGAGTGGTGATAGGATTAATCCTTAATAGGTTATACAGGGTGCCATCTCGTATACTTGAGTGTTTTTCACAAACCTTTGCTCATATTAGGTTCACTGATATTAGGGATCAGCCTAGTCCATATAGATTTCAGGGTTTGTATGGTTCGAGCATTCTACGATTAGTAGTCAAAATGCAATCAGACTATAACTCAATTCAACACTGCCATCCCAATCTCAAACTCTAATTTGACAATCTAGTCTGATCAGCAATGTGTTTCCTCACTTAAATGCTGCCCCACCATATGTGGATATGACTTACATGTGTCTAATTAACTTGAAACGACTATGTATGTGTACAGCTTGAAGGAAAAGTTGATTGCTACTTAATTTGAGGTTAGTTGACAACTAATCGAAAAGAAAGGAAGAAAGAAAAAATGCAAATACCTTGTACATCAGAAACAGTAGTTGTCTTTTTTAAAGTATAAATTGAATGAGCAGATGGAAGCTGGGATTGGCAAAATTGGGTAATTTATAAAACGTCTGTTGCTCCATAATAACGAAGGTTAACAGAGGTGAAACTACACAGAAAGACCACTTGCAACTATTCAATCTTCACTGATAGACATCATTTCAGAATTATTAATGCCTGGGATTGCTGGATTTTCGCAGCGGTCCCAAAGTTATTTTAATGTACCATAATATTCAAGTTTCAAGTACAAAACTGAAAATATTTGTTGTTACTCACCCCAGACAACTTTGCCTCCTTGTGTGACTAAGCCAAGCTCACTTACATTTACTTCAATGACAGTACCTTTAGTAATAACCCCTACAAAGAAACAAATGTTGGCAGTCGATCAACATTCTAGAAAAACAACTAACTATCCCACCCTTGCAACAACCTACCTCACTGTAACTATTGAAAATATGTAATAAATACATGTGAATGCTTTGAAATTGATCACAAACTGTTTAAACTACAGCTCCATTGGTTCACATTGCTTTCAAACACAACTATTTAAGAACTCAACTGACCCTGCAAAAATTAAAGATGCTTCATTTCTGTTCCATTTGGAAACTGCTTTTCTTTTCCCGATCTTTATACAGACTTTAATTGAGTAAAATAAACAGCAGGTGAATATGGATAAATATATGCAAATGTTCTTTTCAAAATTATCTCAATTAGTTGTGCTTTCATATTAGAAGTCAAATTTTACATTAAATCTGAGGAGTTGTGGAATTTACGGGTAAATCTTTACACAAGGGACGAAGGATATAATTCAAAATCTTAATAACTGAACATTTTAAAACAATAAATTATTACATAAATAATACAACCAATTTATAATAATGTAATAGCTATTCAAATCCTCCTTTCATTAAAAATATAGAAACCCCAACATCAAATTCAGCAAGGTACAACTTGAGGAACCATCTGCAGAGAGGATATGGGACAACTCTGCCTCCCAACTCTGCTAATGGATCTATTTACAAAATGACGGTAAACAGGTTTAGAAGATGAGGTACTTCATTGAAGAAAAAAATCAGCTTGAACTGTTCTTGCTGCAGTTGGTTAGAAGACAAGCGTACATTTTCTTGCTTTGAAGTTAACTTTATTTGTTTGCTTACCCAATGTTGTATATAAAGGTGACGACGGGTTCTTCTTAACACCAAGTATAGGTAAACAGAAAGTGGCCTTGAGCTCTGGATGGGTCACATGCGCTTTCTTAAAACGTAAACCCTATGTAACAATATTTACAATTAAGACCATTTTCTTTTACAGAAGGATTCAGAATCAAGAAATTTCACTGTGACTTTCTGTCCCACTCATCCTTTCAAAGGACATATAATTTTCAAAGCAAGCAGCTACCTCTTTATTGTTACCCACACTAGCCCAGCTGGAAGATCACCAAGTTATCCTCTATTCCTGCGACTGTGTTTTATCTTGAAATAGGTTTAATCCTTAGTATCTTCTATCAAGGTGCCATCTTGTGTACTTGTGTTTTTCTCAAACCTTTACTCATATTAGGATCATTGATATTAAGGATCAGCCTACTCTCTACATATTCTACCATAGCTATGATTAGTAGTCAAAATGCAACCAGACTATAATTCAATTCAACACTGCCACCCCAATCTCAAACTCTGATTTGACAAGCTAGTCTGAGCAGCAGTGTGTTTCCTCAACTGACTGCTGCCCCACAATATTTGGATATGATCTACATGTGTCTGTCTAACTCCCACATTTTTTTCTAAGTTACCCTTTCACATCTTTTTTTCAATCAAGTGTTCCATTTTCCTTTTGAAAGTTAGATCCATCTCCCTACTATAGAACCATCTGCATTTCTGACGAATTTATTTTGGCCAGAAATAATAGGGACCCTGATCCAATACTAAAAGGTGTCCATTTGGTACATTCCTCTAGACCAACATCACTGCTCTAATCAGTAGCTGCTGATCCCACTCTTGCATCCATTTCCTTATTAAGGTTCAATCATAAGCGTGTGTAGTTGACCTTAATGTGGAACTAGTATAATTTTCTGTGTTTGTCTTAATCATTTTTAACAAAAATAATTATTGTACTGATTTGTTTTCTATTCATTAACTCAGATTCTACATTGCATGGATGTTTCTAGTTTCGATTTTATAGAGCCATACGGCACTGAAACAGAACCTTTGGTCCAACTTGTCCATGCTGACCAAGTTTCCCAAACTAAACTACTCCCACTTGCCTGCATTTGGCCCATATTCCTCCATGTCTTTTAAATGTTGTAACTGTACCTACATTTACCGCTTCCTTTGGCAGTTCATTCCACATACAAACCACCCTCTCTGTGAAAAGGTTGGCCCTCAGGTCCCTTTCTCCTCTCACCTTAATAATATGACCCCTAGTTTTGAACTCCCTCAGCCCAGGGAAAAGACCTTTGCTATCACCTTATCTATGCCCCTCATGATTTTATAAATCTCTCTAAGATCAACCCTGAGCTCCTACTCCAGTGAAAAAAATTCCAGCCTATCAACATAATTCAAACCCTCCACCCTGCAACATCCTGGTAAATCTTTCTGAACCCTCTTCAATTTAATACTATCCTTCCTCTAGAAGGGCAACCAGAATTGTACACACAGTGCTCCAAAAGTGGCCTTGCCACCTGTACAACCTCAACATGACGTCCCAGCTCCTGTACTCGATGGTCTCAGCAATGAAGGCAAGCTGTACTAAACACCTTCTTAACCACCCTATCTACCTGTTTTGCAACTTTCAAAGAAGTATGTACTTGAAACCCTAGGTATCTCTGTTCGGTAAGACAACCCGGGGCCCTATCATCAACTGTATAAGTCCTGGCCTTGTTTGATTTTTTTTTTTGTTTAGATACCGTTCATAATGTTTCATAAAGCATTTTGTGCTTTGTTTTGATTTAGTGCGTTTGTTTTTGCACTAAATATTCCCTGCTAGATAGTCTCAATCGAAAATATATCCAATACAAATTAGTCAACTTCCTTAACTTCCCAGAAACCCGAGAATTACTTCCTCTCATTCCTATCTGGCTGTCCTTCCTCAGCACTCCGATCCTTTATTCATTCTTTGCATTAATTGTAATAAACGTCTGAATCTATTTGAATCTTTGAATTTTGTACTAATTATATCCTCCAGCCTTGTTTTGTAACTCACCATAGGTCTAATGAATCTTTCATATTTAGGAGGTTTCCTGGTGAATCCATCACCAACAAAGCAGACTTTAGTAACCATTCTCTTCCAAGCTTTCTTCTTCCGTTTACCTGTGCGGAGAACTTTCAGAACTTCAGTTTCTCCTTGGGCACGGACTTTAGGCAAAGGTACTTCCCATTTTCCCTGCCAAAGAACAATTTACGTAGGATTATGAATTAAAATTCTGCTTAATCTAAATAGCAATTATTTATATTTATTTTTAATGTAGGGAAGCTCCCAAGATGCTTCACAGGAATATTATAAAACAACTGATATTGAGTCACATAAGGAGATATTAGGACAGATGATCAAAAGTTTAGTCAAAGGACATGTTTTAATATGAACCTTCATAGAAGAAAGTGAGGGGGAGAGGTGTAGGGAAGGAAATTCACAGATTTTGGTCTAGGCAAAGTAAGACAAGACCACTGACAGTGGAACAACTAGGAATGCGCAGGAGGCCAGAATTAAGTGAATGCAGATATTGCAGAGATAGGCGTGGGGAGGTAGAGGAGATTATACAGACAGGGAGGCAAGGCCCCATGGAGGAGTTTGAAAACAAAAATAGCAATTTAAATGTCAAGACTATGCCCAAGAATTAATGCAGATCAGCAAGCACAGGGCCGATCGATGGGCTTCCAGCAAGTTATAACACTGGTAGCTGAATTTAGGGTAATTTCAAGTTTACACTGGATAAACAGCTAGGAGTTTGGAAGGTTTGTAACACTATCCTTGTAAACAGACTAGCTTAATCTCAGATTGTTGCCAGTGGTGGCGAACAGTGTGGACCAAGCACAGTGGCTTAATCATCCCAATTTTTAATTGGAGGAAACGTTTGCTTATCTAGTGCAGAATGTTGGATAATCAATGTGATAATTTTGCAACAGTGGAAGAGCTGAGTGGTGTGGTGGTAAGGTTGAGTTGGATGCTGTAAGCATCCATACAAAAAATTAATGTTGTGCCTTCAGTTGATGTCACCAATGAGCTGCTTGTAATTGTTAAGGAGCCAAGAAAAATTTTTGGGGGAATACCACAACTAATGTGCAGGACCAGGAAGGAGCATGTTGCATGTGATTCTCTTGCTACAATCAGATAAGAATGGAACCATGTGAAAGTAATGGTACCCAGTTGGACAACACTGGAGAGTTGCTTGAGGAAAAAGCTATGATTAATCTTGTTAGAAGTTGCACACAGGTCAAAAATGATAAAGAGGAAAGTCAACCTTAGTCATACTTGCATAGGATATAGTTTCTGACTTTAATAAAAGCTGTTTTAGTACCATGGCAGAGGACAGAAACCTAGTTGCAGGATTTCAAATATGGGGTTCCACAAAGAACAAGAATGAATTAGGAAGGTGACAACATGTTGAAGGATTTTGGAGAGGAAAGGGAAGTTGGACACATGATAGTGGGATCAAGGGTATTTTTGTTTTGATGAAAGCAGATTTAATAGAAACTAGGACAACACCTGAAGACAGCCAGCTGTTCACAACATTGGTTAAAGAATGAGAGGTGATCTCATTAAAACATGGATTCTTAAAGTGCTTGACAGAGTAAATGCTGAGAGGATGTTTCCCCTCGTGGACAGTCTAGAAGCAGAGGGCATTGTCTCAGAATTTAGGACTGTGAATTTAAAACTGAGATATGGAGGAATTTCTTCTCTGAAGGTTGAGGGTCTTTGGAGCTCCTTGCCAGAGATCTCCGGGGGCAGTGTCTTCGTGTATATTTAAGGCTGAGATAGATATATTCTTGATCAGTTGGGGAATCAAGGGTTATGGGGAAAGTGCAAGAAAGTGGATGTGAGGAATGTCGGATCAGCCATGATCCTAAAGAATGGAGGAAGTAGGCTTGAGGGGTCCTATTTCTTATGGTGGAGAGGTAGGGTGGGGGTTGCAGGAGATGAATTTGGGTGATCTCCAATTTTGTGGGAGTAGGGATGGGATATTAGGAAAATACTGTAAAGCCCTTGGTTTCTGGCAACAGGAGTTGGGTGTTGGTAATCTGTAAATGCAGTTGTACGAATAAAAGTGCCATCGGCAAGGCAGGCATGTGTACTATTGAATGGAAACAAACATAAAAGTTTTATTTACGTAGCAACTTTCACAATCTAAAATCATCCTAAAGAGTTTCACAGGAAATGAAGTACTTTTTGAAGTGTATGCACTGAAGTATTAAATAAAATGTGGTAACCAATGTGCACAGCACAGTCCCACAGACAACAGACAGACAAATTAGCAGATAATCTGCTTTTTAAATGTTCACTGAGGGACAAGTGTTGGTTCGAAAAAAGGGCCTCCATTCGACAAGTTCTATTTGTAGATCTGAGAGGGTAAAGAGGACTTTAGACATTAAAGCTACCTTGATACTCCACAAACATGTCATCTTACATGTAGTGGAATTCACAACTGTCAGATGTTTCGAATATTTTAATATACAGCTGAGTCACAGCTGAAACCTCAAAATTAGCACTTCCCTCATTACAGTATAAACGGAAACGGCCAAATGTTAGACTTGCAGATTCAAGACAGAAAAGATCCTCCACTTACAGCTTTTTCTTTTCTCTTTTGTTTGATCATGTTAGATAAGACTTTAGCACGGGATTGACCCTCTCTGTCGAGCAGATAGGCTGGTACTGCACCTTCTGGTGTTTTCTCATCATTCTTCTGTTTTGTGTTTCTCTGTTCGTGCATTTTCAGGCTAGAGAGATGAAATTAGTGTGCTTTTCAAGTGAAATAATAGGTTACATTTAAAAAACACTTTTTACTGCTATTGGAGAATGGTTTTCATGCAATCATTCTTGCAAGGCACTCCCCAAACAGCAGTATATTTCTCACATGACAAAAGAATTTAGTCAACACTCAAGATAGGGTTAAGGAGAATCCTCCTTATTGAGGAAGAAAAGAAACAGCAGAGCATTGTGATGATAATGGTTCATGTAACACACAAAAAGTTTCTTTGTAACACTCAATCAGGCCAACAAAAAATTACAGAGCAAGCAGGGCAATTAGAAGAGAAGAGGAAACAATATGTCAAGTATTCCAGTTGACAAACAAGCTTATCTTTAACCATCAATCAGCACGCACTATCAACGTGCTACTGGACCTCTCATTCTTCTGATAAATCACCCACCACTTCGGGATAATCTTGGAAAGCAATGATGGGGCTCAGCTTCTTTTTGCAGTTTAATCCAATTTCCTCTTAAACACTTCTTCCTTGCCCCATTAGTCTCACCACGACAAGTGCAAGGAGCTCATGGGGTAGTTTATCATTCTGGTCAAGATTACCCATTCAGCTGCCTCTCTGATTTGTTATTACATTGTTATTTGTTCAAGGTTCATAAGCATTACATACTAGCATATGTTGCCGACTGCTCAATTCCCTTGAGGTGGTGGTGTTAAACCACATACTTGAACGACTGCAGTCCATGTAGCGCAAACACCCATAGTGTTAAGGAGTTACAGGATTATGACCCAACGACAGTGAAGGAATGGTAATACAGTTTTCAAGTAAAGGTGGTTTGTCCCTTGAAGGGGAAATACAGGCTCCCAAGAAAGTTGTTTTGGTGAAACTTGACAAATGCTGCAGTGCATCCTATAAATGGTACACACTACTGCACTGTGCTTTGGGGTGAAGGAAATAAATACTTAACGTGGTGGATGGACTATTTTTTATGGATGGTTTGTTTCAATATTCTTGAATATTGCACTTTTCCAAGCAAATGGATAGTATCCTATCACACTTCTTTCTGTATGTGAAGGGAATACTATGAGGAGTCAGGAAGTGAGTTATTCATTGCAGAAATGCTAGTCTCTGACCTGCTGTTGTAACAAAAGTATTTATAAGCAGGCCCATCTGAGATTTTAGTCTGCAGTAAGCCCCCAGCATATCGATAGTGGGCAATTCAGAGGTGGTAAGACCATTAAATATCAAGGGGTGGTGGCTACATTGTTTCTTGTTGAAGATGATCATTGCTTGGCAGTTGTGTATCATGGGTGTTACTTGCACTAGTGCCAAGCCTGAATGCTGCCCAGGTTTGCTGCATGTGAACAGATTATAAACAATGCTGAACATTGCGCAACCATCAGCAAATATTCCCTGCTGACCCTCTGGCAGAGGGAAGGTAATTAATGAAGCAGAAGATATATGGACTTGAAGAACTCCTGAAGAATTGTACTCAGGCTAAAATTATTACCCTTCTGAACATCACAATGAACTACTGTTGTGAAGTATAACCCCACACAGTGGAGAGTTGTTCCCCTTACCCCTGTTTCATAGACTTCAATTTTGTTAGGGCTGCTTAATGCCAGTGTTAATTGCTGTCTTGATATCAAGGAAAGTCATTTTTACCTCACATTTGGCTATACGTTATGGCTTGCCAGATCTTCCCTACCCCAAGAATAGAGTATAATGTAAGAGACAGGAATTGGAGTACTTAGTTTAGCCCTTCAACTCTGTTGCACCATTCAACAAGATCAAGTCCTAAAAAGCCAAAGCCTTATTCTGAATCTGTCTTTTAAATTCTCCATTCGAGGAAGCATTTTCTCAGCACCTGCTTTGTTAGGCCCCTCAAAAATTTTTATATTTCAATTAGATTACCCCTCATTCTTCTACACAAGAAAAACTATTACCTGAATGAAAACCTCTGCAGAAGTGTGAGGTCACTGTTTATGTGTTTTCATTGCACAATGCCGAAGCTGGAACGTTTTAACCAGCAGTTACAACCCTATTTACTGCACCTCTAATCTCAATGTCAGATTTTAAATGTAACTATTGAGTGTTCATTTCTGTGGGATTCACTACAATTTGTTCAAGTATAGTAGCATCTGAATTTACACAGCTTTAAAGTAGACTCAATACTAACTTGCAAGGAATTCATTTCCCCCAGTGGTAAATATTTCATTGGGTCACAGTTAGCTCAATTGGCTGAATGGCTGGTTTGCAATGTAGAGTTATGCCAACACCAATTTCCGCACCTGAGGTAACATTGAAGGGCGCTTCTCACCCCTTCCTTTGCTTGAGGCACGATGACCCTCGGGTTAAACCACTTCATAATAATGAGAAAACAGCTTATGGTCCAGCAGGGCTGTGGCAAATTTACCTTTTTTTTTTAAAAAAAACTTTATCAAGGTTGGAAAAAAAGATTTTTTTGCCACCTTACTTCCTAAACCCACAATTGAAAACAAGATGACATGCAGATAGCTTAAGGGTGAGACTTACGTCTTCTTCATCTGTATTTTTTCTGAATGGCGTTGTTTGTGGTACAATTTGGCTTTCAGACCAATCATTTTCTTGGCTTTGTGGGATCGCTCGTGAGCTTCACGGCTCTCCTTCTTCCTTTTCTTCTCATGGTGGTCCAAGCGATAGCCATATCGCTTACGATGTAATTCGATATATTCGTTCTGCGGCTGTATTAAACCAGAAGAAACATATATGCCATTCCAGTTGAATTCACCAAACACACAGGAAATCTTAATACAGTTGGAAATTTGAATAAGTAGATTGTAACCCTTTGTGCATATCTACAATAAAAACTGGCCTTGCCAGTGAAACCCATGTCCTAAATGTAAATAAAAGAAAATGGCAGCCGAGTTATGAATTTAGATGCACAGAAATACCTTAATTTTGGCATGAAAGAGTAAAATGTGTATTAACAAAATCTATTCTTTGTTGGCCTGTATGATTGATCTGCAAAAGATTAGTCTCAGACTGAGCAAGAAGATAATATTGCTGTTTAATGCTCTGAAAATTTGTGTAAAAATCTTCCACTTTCCACTGAAATGCAAAAATTTAGTCAATATTTTTGAGCACCATAGTTCAAAGCATTAAAAATATCATATTTTCTGGTCATTAAACTTTACTGGCGAAATTAAAGTTATAATGTCTGGAATTCTTCCATCTATGAAAGATAAACAAACATGCAAACAAAAATTCTTTCAGATGGAGTGTGTTTATATGGCACACTTTTCCTGATGACTGCTACATACGGGCCTACCAGGTGTCATGTGCATTATCATATTCAGGTGTCTGTTCCAACCTGCTGTATCCACTGGTCATTGTCATGGTCTCTGCCAGCCAGAGGTGGTGTCAATATGTTCCTTTGTTATTAGCCAATGACATAAGATCCTTCTAATTTATTATTCTTCTATACAGAGCTCTAAGGTCCATGTGTGGCAGCAACTTATGAAATCATAAGTCAATGGTGGGAACAGCATCGACAAACTGTGCGGCTGCACAGAGTAGGGGGAAGTTGCGAGTGATTCTCAGGTGCAATAATCAAAGGCCTTCAGGTCAAGCTTGCAGTATCCTGAAGAGGAACTTTGGACACCCTGCTCATCATCTGGATCTGGCTATCTCACCAAGAAAACCCCTAGATTGAAACCACCTTCCATCCTGCAGATGAGCCCAATCCAATGAGGATGTCACTATTTGAGGAGAGCTAACAAACTTGGGAGCACTGCTTTTGGGAAGACTGCTTGTATTCTTGAGTTTGTCCTGTCAAGATATACTTAAAATGTGGCACAGACAATGAATATTGAAATTGGCGAGCTTCTATCCTCAGTTGTTTGTATTTCACATCCGTACAACAAAGGTGTTGAGAACACAGGCCTTCCAAACCATCAGCTTGGTCCTAAAGGCAAGTTGATGCTTTTCCAGAAAAATACAAAGAACCGCAGATGCTGGAAATCAAAAAAACAGACAGAAATTGTTGGGAAAACACAGCAGGTCTAGTAGCATTTGTGACCCAGTGAAGGATCACTGGGCCCAAAATGTTAACTCTGCTTTCTCTCCACAGATGCAGGCAGACTTGCTGAGTTTTCCCAGTAATTTCTGTTGATATTGTTCCATGTTGTTTTAGTGTTACTTTTCGTGTGAAACTCTCAAGTTCTGCATTAAGGAACAGATCGTCAGTCAGTATTTCAGGGGCCTCTGATGCAGTCATGTAGTAATATTTTCTGTATTTGTGCTAACATGCATGGTATTTGGACCATCAAATTTATCAAATCTCAATTGAACATAAAACCACAACACACAAGGAAGGTATTGATTCACTAGGTATCACAGCAGTTAAACTATCCAAGACAACAGCCATAAGTTTATTTTTCAAAATAATTGGTACAAAAAGCCATCACCCTACACACATTTTCTACAGACCGGCAGGGTCACAGATATAGGTTGCCTATGTATAAAGCTGGAACACTTTAACCAAACCATTACTATCCTTTTTACTATATTTTACTGCCTCCCTCCCCAGCTTCTGTATACCTCTGTATACATAATAGAGCAGAGAGAAGACGCCAAACCAAATAGTGGCCTAGCCACAGCTCTATGTCACTCCATTCTTCACTCTGAGATCATTGGAACTGGAGCCAAATTGCATGTTCTTACAGAAAGAGCAGGTGACATGTGGCACTTTCATGAATAGCCAAGTTTCCCCAAAATCTTGTAGAGTCTTGTTCTGCTGAGTGAGATCTATGGAAGTGTGGTAAAGCAGTACACCCAATTTCCTGGACTTGTCTTGCAGCTGGTGTTTAAAGAACATGCCCACAGTAGGTCTGCCTGCATGGAAACTAAACCATGCTTCCAGACACAGTCTGTTTACAAATTGACAAAGCCTATTAAGTGCGACTTTGGCAAAGGAGTGAAAAGCCTCTGCAGTTGTTGCTGTCTCCCCTGTTTTTCTATTTTTTAAGAACTCTTTCATGGCAAGACCAGCATTTACTGTGCATCCCTAATTGCCTTTCAACTCAGTGGCTTATTAGGCTATTTCAGATGATGATTTAGGGTCAACCACATTGCTATGGTTCTCAAGTCTCAGTCACAGACTGTAACACAAGTCCCAATGGGACATTAATGAAACAACAATGATAGCTAGAAACATAGAATTTAGAAGGAGTTGGTCATTTGGTCTTTTGAGCACATTCCACCATTTAATATGATCATATCTGATCTTTTACCTCAAGACCATACTCCCAGTCTCTTCCTATAACCCTTTTGACATTTTGGTGTGTGGTAGAGAATTCAACAGGTATACCACACTTCGTGAAGAATTCATCTCAATCTGAAATGGCCTGTATTCTGACATGTTAACCCCTGTTCTGTGTTGCATCCTCCTGAAACAAACATTTTGAGTCCAGTGACCCCTCATCAGAACTGTAGAAAGGTCCATAGAATCGCTACAGTGTGGAAACAGGCCATTTGGGCCAACAAATCTACACCGGTCATCCAAACAGCATCCCACCCAGACCCATCCGCACCCTATCCGCGTAACCCTGCATTTCCCATTTCCAACACACCTAACCTACATATCCCTGAACACTATGGGTAATTTAGCGTGGCCAATCCACCTCAACTATACATCTCTGGACTGTGGGAGGAAACCGGAGCACCCGGCAGAAACCCACGCAGACACGGAGAACGTGCAACTCCAACAGACAGTCGCCCAAGTGTGGAATTGAATCCAGATCCCTGGAGCTGAGGCAGCAGTGCTAAGCACTGAGCCACCATGCCGCCCAAGTGAACTTGAAATGCTAACTCTGTTTCTTCTCCACAGATACTGTCCAACCTGCTGACTTTCTTCAACAATTTGTTTTCTTTCTCAGATTTCCAGCATCTCCAGTTTTGTATTTTTGATATATATATAAATCAGCTCAAACTGATTAATCTCTGATGATAGGTGTTTCCTGTCAGTTCCATTGAATTATAGGCAAATCTCACGTCAGCCTTCCTTACAATTAGGAGAATGCATGTAGCAACATGTGCAAGATTTCAGCAATGAAATGAGACAACAAGGTTTCTATGTTATGCTGTTCCAAGTCATACTATTGTTTAGATCAACACTGGGCAGCAAATGCTGGGAGGTGACTGGTGTCTCTGAATTTGAGAAACTATTTATTGCGAAAACCTATTAAATTTGTGATAGAGATCCAGGACTGGACATTTACCAGTATGGTGTAATAATATAAACTAGATGGTGGTAAATTGGCAGTCTGTTCTAGGTTGCTGTTGACTTTTTAAACCAATTACTGAATAGTGGTAGTCCATTTTGCAATATCATACAAAGTTTAAAACCTATATCCCAGGTTTAGATAAATAGGAAATGTTTAGAGGGATGTGTATCAAATGCGCACAAGCGGGACTAGTTTAGTTTCGGAAACTTTGTCGGCATGAACAAGTTGGACCGAAGGGTCTATATCCGTGCAGTATGAATCTATGACTCTATAAGCAAAGTTGGATAGGTGATAATGGCGATTGTGAGTAGTCAAAAACGAGCTGGCAGTACTGAAAACGAACCATTTCATGACAAGTCTTGGAGTTACGGGTGTGGATAATAGACAAAGAAAGTAGGGTGGGTGGGGAAGGTGTTCATGCTCTGAAATTGTTAAACACGATGTTGACTCTTGAAGGATTTGGCTAAATTAAACACCAAGTTGTTTTAAGGTGAATTAGGCTGACTGCAGATAGAAAAGAGGGCAAGAATTTTCAAACTGCAACACAAGCAATCTTTAAAGTACTGAGGCGGGTTAATAAGCGGAGAACGGAAGCTTTGGGTTTTGACTGAATCGTTAAACGGAAACGTTAGAGAGCGGCAGCTGGTGCCCGGGCTGAGGACTCCGGGGCCGACACAGCGTGTTCACTCTCTCACCCCCGACCCCGCCAACGATAGCTCCGTCCGACACTCACCATTTTGCTGCCGTCAGTCTCACTGTGCGACTCAAAGAGTTGGTGCTACTTGCTGTTCCTGGATTTTTCTCTTGGTGACACGGAGAAGACTGAAGACCGCACTCACCACACCGCCATCTTGTTGGTAAAGGCAGCCAAGGAGCGTCGGCGCGCGCCAAGAGGCGACGGAAAGGGAAACGTCAACGAGGCGAGAAGAAGGCAAGAGGTAACCGCGAGGAGGGCGTTCGCAGCCACGAGAGGGTGATCGCGTGCAGCGACGGTTATTGTGCTGAGCGTGCGGACAGTTTTATTTATTGACCTGGAATGGAGGGCAGGGGAGATACTACCGAGTGACAGGAGCTTGGGACAGGTAAGATCCCGAATCCGGAACCGAGGGGGCTCGGGATAGAATCCCTACAGTGTGGAAGCAGGGCATCCGGCCCATCGAGTCCACACCCACCCTTCGAAAAGCATCCCAACCCCCATTCCTGCATTTTCCGTGGCTAATCCACCAAACCTGCACACCCTTTGGGTTTTGGGGTGGAGAGACTGGGGGTCCTCGCGGGTAGGGAGTGTCAGAAGCATTCAGGGGTGGAGGGTTCAGAAGATCTTGGGGCGGAGCGTTAGCGGTCAGAGTGTCTCTGGGTAAGGGGTGTCAGAAAGTTTCAGAGTAAAGTGGTCAGAGGGTCTCGGAGATTAGGAGTAGTGTGTCAGAGGTTCCTCGGAGTGGGGCGTGTGGGAGGGTTTCAGGGGTGGGAGCAGAAGGCCCTGGGTCTCTCGATAAACTGTGGGGTGGAGAGGGTCTTCAGGTACTGGATCATTTTGATTATTACTGGTATAGCTGTTCACAAAAGCAACAACTTGGGTAAGTCTGAGATAACAAGGTGTAGAGCTGGATGAACACAGCAGGTTGAGCAGAAAAGCTGACGTTTCGGGCCTAGACTCTTCTTCAGAAATGGGGGAGGGGAAGGGGGTTCTGAAATAAAAGGGAGAGAGGGGGAGGCGGATAGAGGAGAAGATAGGTGGGGAGGAGACAGACAGGTCAAAGAGGCGGGGATGGAGCCAGTGAAGGTGAGGAATTAGGGAGGTCAGTCCAGGGAGGACGGACAGGTCAAGGGGGCGGGATGCGGTTAGTAGAAAGGAGAGGGGGTGGGGCCGGAAAAACCTCGGTGGATCTTTCTCCCACTGCAACTCTCTCGTAATCTCTTCGGCCTTGAAACTGCTCGACCATGTCCTGCAGCAAACCAGGTACTACTCCCACGTCCTACAGACAAAGGGAGTGGCCATGGGTACCCACATGGGCCCAAGCTATGCCTGCCTCTTTGTAGGTTACGGGGGACAATGCCTCTTCCGTAGCTACACTGGTCCTAAACCCCACCTCTTCCTCCGTTACATTGATGACTGTATCGGCGCCACCTCGTGCTCCCACGTGGAGCTCGAACAGTTCATCCACTTCACCAACACCTCCCACACCAACCTTATTTTCACCTGGACCACCTCTAATACCTCTCTCTCCTTCCTGGACTTCTCTGTTTCCATCTCCGGCAACCACCTAGAAACCGATATCCATTTCAAGCCCACTGACTCCCACAGCTACTTAGAATACACCTGCTCCCACCCACCTTCCTGCAAAAATGCCATCCCCTATTTCCAATTCCTTCGCCTCTGCCGCATCTGCTCCCAGGATGAGGCATTCCACTCCCGTACATCTCAAATGTCTTTGTTTATCAAGGACCGCAACTTCCCCCCCCTCAGTGGTCGAGAACGCCCTCAACCGTGTCTTCCGCATTTCCCGCAACTCATCCCTCACACCCCCTCCCCGCAATAACAACCAAAACAGAATCCCCCTCGTCCTCATGTACCACCCCACCAACCTCCGGATCCAACGCATCATCCTCCGACACTTCCGCCATCTGCAATCCGACCCCACCACCAAAGACATTTTTCCCTCCCCATCCTTATCTGCTTTCCGGAGGGACCACTCTCTCCGGGACTCCCTTGTCCGCTCCACACTCCCCTCCAGCCCCACCACACCCGGCATTTTTCCCTGCAACCGCAGGAAGTGCTGCACCTGCCCCTACACACCCCCCCCCAACCTCTTGTTGGGCTGAAGGGCCTGTTTCCACACCGTAGGGATTCTATGATTCTATTCCTCATCAACCCTGACTATTTTGATCATATTTTGAATCATGTTACCACCAATCTAAAGAAGTGTTTCTCTCTTTTCCCCTGCCCCAAAGCTACATTTAACTGAATCAGAGCTTGGGTATGATTTGGTAAAATTCTTATTTGGGCCAGAACATTCAGAACAATTATGCCTCTTTTCTCCATTAAGAAAGGTACGATTTCATTTTTCTTTCACCATCTCACAATATCCCAAACATTTTCTTATCAACTGTGCTCCCCTGTTTCTTGTCAGAATAGCACTATGGGGTCTTTACATCTGTCTGAATGGGTATGTAGAGTCTTAGTTCAATGTCTCATTAGGACTATGGTACTTCTAACAGTGCAGTACTCCCTCAGTCCTGCAATGTCAGTTCAGTCTTGATTGTGTGCACAAATTCTAGACCAAGACTTGAAAGTAAAAACATCTGACGATGTGGGACTGCTGCTCATTGAGTCATGGCTAACATACTTTTAGAAAGCATGCGGTAGTGCAACTCTCAGTGAACTAATAATTAAAAGGATTAGAATTGTATTATTAAGAAAAGCAGTGGAACAAGTATAGTGAAGAGTTCACCCAAAACGTTCAACTTTGTTTTATTTTTCAGTTTGCTGATACAAAATAAATTACTTTTCCAGGAATAATTCCGGATTAACACCATGAAAGAATCAACCTTGATGAGAAGAAAATTCAGTGAGGTTTTCAAAGTTTTAATTACACTGAATGAAACACAACCAACTATAAAAAAAAAATTGAGAGGGCACCCATGTATATTTCCTTTTAAGTTGATGAGACTGTGGTTTTTGTAACATGGTGTCAATCAGTTATTGAAGCCTACAGTGACAAAAACAGTGGCTAATTCCATCATTATAACTTTGTGTTAGTCATGGCTCGGTTTGTGGTACTCCCACCTTGGAGTTAGAAGGTTATGGGTTCAGGTCCCAGTCTAAGTCTTGAGCACATAAATCTAGACATTTCTGTGCATTACTGAAGGAGTGCTCCACTGTCAGAAGTGTTTTGGGTGAGGGTTAAACCAAAGCTTTGCCACCTTGTCAGGGAGATGTAAAAGATCCTAAGCCTCTAATTGAAGAAGAATAAGTGAGTTACTTTCAGTTTCCAGAGCAATATTTATCTCTCACTCAACATTGCAAAATAACAATGTATTTGATCAACACACTTCTCTTCAGGAGAGTTTGCTGTGTGCATATTGTTGAATATGTTTCTTTATTCTAACAGCCACTATAAACTTCATTGGTTGTAAAGTGCTTTGGAACCTCTTGTTTTTGCAAAAGGCACAATGTAAATACAACTCATTCTTTTTCTTTTAGGCAGCATATAATCTGGAGCAGGCAGTATGGGGGAACAGTTGGGTAGGATGAAACATAGCCACTTAAAAATAAAGAGAGGGAAGGGGAATGAAAGAGAAGTTGTGTAATTGGGAGCAGGTATAGCATGCGATATATCATCTTGGATCTTAATGAATTCTTCAACTATTGTATAAACTGAATTAATTATGTTATCTGGTGATATACCTTAATTGGCCACTACAGAGGTTTAAAACTGATTCTAAGCATAAGGGAGAAATGGTCTGTAGTGGACCTACGGAAGCTGATAATGGTAGAGATTCACAACTTTGTTTTTTTTTTAAATCATAAGCTAATCCAAGGATAGCATTTGAACAATATCCCTTCTCAGATACAACAAATATGTTCCACATGTGGATATTTGTCTGAGATACTAGCATTGCTGAAGTCGGGCCACGTATAGTCAGAGCCATGCAACGTGGAAAGAAACCTTTCGGTCCAACTAGTCCACGTTGACCAAACTAGTCCCACTTGCCTACGTTTGACCCATGTCCCTCTAAACCTTTCCTGTTCATGTGTTGATCCAAATGTATTTTAAATATCATAACTGTACCTGCATCCACTTCCTCTTGAAGCCCATTCCACACATGAACCATTCTCTGTATGAAAAGGTTGTCCTTTAGTTTTGAACTTCCCCACCGAAGGGAAAATACCCTTGCTATTCACCTTATCTATGCCTCTCAAGATTTTGTAATCCTCTGTAAGGTCACCCCTCAATCTCCTAAGCACTAGTGAAAGAAGTCCCAGCCTAATTTTATCCCTGGCAACATCCTGGTAAATCTTTTCTGAACCCTGTCCAATCTATAAATATCCTTCCTATAGTAGCGTGACCAGAACTGGACACTGTATTCCAGAAGAGGCCTCACCAATGTTAGAACATAGAACAGTACCGCACAGCACAGGCTCTTCAGCCCACAATGTTGGGCCGACCTATTATCCTACCAAGATCAATCTACCCTGCATACCCTACGTTTTACTATCCTCCATGTACCTATCCAAGAGTCGCTTAAATGTCTCTAAAGTATTTGACTCCACTACCACTGTCGGCAGCACATTCCACACGCCCACCACTCCCTGTGTAAAGAACCTACCTCTGACATCTCCCGTATACCTTCATCCAATCACCTTAAAATTATTCCCCCTCGTAATAGTCATTTCTGCCCTGGGAAGAAGTCTCTGACTATCTACTCTGTCTATACCTCTCATCATCTTGTAAACCTCTCTCAATTCACCTCTTATCCTTCTTCGCTCCAATGAAAAAAGCCCTAGCTCCCTCAACCTTTCCTCATAAGACCTGCTCTCCAGTCCAGGCAGCATCCTGGTAAATCTTCTCTGCACCCTCTCTAAAGCTTCCACATCTTTCCTATAATGAGGTGACCAGAACTGAACACCATATTCCAAGTGTGGTCTAACCAGAGTTTTACAGAGCTGCAGCATAACCTCACGGCTCTTAAACTCAGTTCCCCTGCCAATGAAAGCCAACACACCATATGCCTTCTTTACCCTATCAACTTGGGCAGCAACTTTGAGGAATCTGTACAATCTCAAGATGATATCCTAACTCCTGTACTCAAAGGTCTAAGCAATGAAGGCAAGTTTGCTAATTGCCTTCTTAACCATCCTGTCTACCTGAGACGTAAGCCTCAAAGAATTGTGTACCTGAATCCCTAGGTCTTTGTCCTACTACACGACCCAGGGCCCTACCATTAATTGTATAAGTCCTGTCCTTATTTGTGTTACCAAAATGCAATATCTCACATTCATCCAAATTAAACTCCACCTGTCATTTCTAGGTATATTTGTGATGATTTGTCTGTGGAATGGTTGTCCAGCATTTTCCATTCAAGAGGAGAAATTTGAAAAATATTGAACAAAATCTTTAGAAACTGACAAAAGTCTCACTACATTCAATGTGAAATGTGACTTCTTCCCAAACAATTTGCTCCCAATCCCAAAATTCAATGCTCTGATTTTGTAAGTCTGCGCTAAATATGCATTAGCTAATGAGTGTGTTTTGCTCTTCCAGATTTCTTTTGTATGTAGATTGTGACTAATAACAGAGAGGAAAATGAGTCGATTTATGATGGAACTACCACTAATTGGGATTCTTTCATCCAGTGGACATCAAATGGTGAAGATTAATATTTTAAATTGACATTACTTTTCTAATAGTATGTATGCTAGCATTGAATCACTGAATGTACAGTACAGGTACTCCTTACTTAACATGGTGGTCCAGTTCCTGAGAATTAGTAGTATAAGTAAAACTACTTTAAGTGAATCATAGCTTTCACCAGGAATTGGTACTGAACCTATAGTTACATTCATTCAGACTTTTCTTGCCTGGTGAAACACATGTAAGAATTGAAATTGCTATCATATATGTACAACACTGTGCATTTCTTCCAAAAGACAACAGGGTTGCTATGTAAATTCACCCTTATTTGAACAATTTATCAATGGATTCAGGACAGAACAGTACTCAATTTGTTGTCAAGGAAGTATATGCTATTCAGTCATTCATCAGTGTAAATTACAACAATGTTTGTGTATGTTTATTTCCAGAATTATATTCATGACATTCCATAGTTGTTCTTCATTGTCAGAAACACTTGTCTGAAAGATATTTTACTAAAACTAGATGATAAGTACACACCATGAAGTAGGTGGGATATCCTGACGGACTCCTCTGAATGATGCCTGGGCCATTTTAACCCCTGGGCTTTAACTGAAATTTTTTGTACTGATTCCTGACTGAAGCTAACAGGGTTGACAACAAAGCTTGAAATCTTGCCTTGCCTTTTGATGCATCTGTCTGTGGTCAATGGCTTTCACATACTGTGTCCTGACTAGGTTATGATTAGGGGTTGTTGATCAGGTCCCAGCATCAGCTGTCTTTGACATGATGACACTCGTGATGTACAATTGGAAATACCAACGTAGTTCGAAGAAACAAGTTTAAAAATTGTTGAAGTGAAATATCTTTAAATGATGCAATATTAAATGAGGACTACCAGTATACAAAAAGCCTATTCAGTTTGCTGTAGCTTTGCACCTCCTCAATGAGAGTTATGTGCTATTTCAATCTTTTTAAATTTGTGTTTCCTTTAGCATTGAAATATTCTGCTAATACCTTGTTGATTACAATCATAATTTAGTTGGAAATGGCCCAATACAAAGCAACCTTTCAATCATCATCTTTGGAATGTTAAAACAAGCTCTGATAGAAATTCAAATTTTATAAATATGTTTAGCTGGGGAAATTAGTTACTATGAAACAATGATTCTATAACTTGCATTGGTTAACTGATTGTTCTGTACTTACAGTGCCTTCTGCGCTGCTGGTTCAGGGTTGGTCATACCAGCAGAAGAAATGTAAAAAGTATTTTTGTAAGGAGGTACAGCTTTCTTCCAGGTAAATTAATACACAATTGTCACAGAGCAAAAGGGAATGGCACAGACGTTGTTTGGTCACAAGACAATTTGGATGGAGAAAGCCCTTTTGCCTATTTTATCTTATTTTCCCAGACCAGCAATTATAATTAATTCCAGTACAGAACCCAGCTGCTTATTAAATTAGTTCTTGGCCTCAATCAGCTTAGTTAGCAACCAGTTTCAGCAGGTGGGCATCCTTTAAGCAAGGGATACTTTCTGATTGTGACAAAAATGGGATTTTTGCCTTTTTATATGTATATTGCATGTTTAATTGATAAGATGCTGAAAAATGCAGAGCAATCGAAGGACCTTGGTCTCAGTTCACAATAGTTCTAATCACCAAATTACAGGAATGATTATACTGAAGAGGGTAGAGAGGAGATTTATGAGGAGGTTGCCAAGCAAGGTGGTTAGTAGTCCTGCCTCTCAGCACCGGGGTTTGATACCACCCTTGGGTGACTTTCTGTGTGGAGTTTGCATGTTCTCCCTATGTCTGCATGGGTTTCCACCAGGTACACTGGTGTCCTCCCATAGTCCAAAAATGTTAAATGGATCGGCCATGCTAAATTGCCAGTAGTGTTGAGCAGGTTGGACTAGCCCTGATAAGTGTGAGGTTACAGGGATAGTGTGGAGGGTTGGATCTGGGTGAGATGCTGTTTGGAGGGTTGGTGCAGACCAAATGGGCCAGATGGTCTCTTTCTGCACTGTAGGGATTCTATGAATAGAAAAAATTTAGCCATGAGAAAAAAATTGGACAGGCTGCGGTTGTTTTCTTTGGAATAAAGGAGACTGAGAGGACCTTTAATTGAAGCAAATAAAATTGAGGGGCTGTGAGTAGATAAAAAGGACCTTTATCCCTTAGTTGAAAGATCAATAACCAAGAGGTTATTAATATTAATTTAAAGCAATTGGTCAAAGGCTTAGAAAGGTGTTGAGAATTATTTCACCAGAGGGTAGTTGGAGTTGCAGTCTCACCACCTGAGTGTTAGAGGCAGAAACAACCTCACTGCATTTAAAAAGTAATTGTGTATGGACTTGAAGTGCTGTAGCTTACAGAACAACTGATGGAAAATGGAATTAGTTTGGATAGCCCCTTAATGACCAATGCAACCAGAATGGGCTGAATGCTTCCTTCTATCCTATCAATTTCCTATCTTTCTTTTATTAGTGCAGCAGAGTTTTACAGCACAAGGGGAGGTCAACTGCTGGTGTAACAATTTGAAAATTTATTTCTGTAAATTTTTGTTACTTTGAATTATCAATTTGAGATGCATACATTTATCAGTAAGTTCCACGAGTTTAGGCATGATTTATTTCCTCCCTGAAGTTGACGAGGATGATGATGGAAAGGAAAGATAATTAAGCGGGTTGGCCATAGATAGATAGATAGATTTTTGCCCCCTTTTTCTTTTCTTCCCCCGCCACCCCAAGACAACCACCACCATGAAATATCAGCAACTAAGTCCTGTGCGAGAAAGTCCATAGGCAACCATTTTTACTTACCATCTATGAAGCCCTTTAAATGGTCATTTAAGTGACTCTTAAGGTCCTCAAAGGTGCCACCAATCTGATTACCTGCCTACCTGACAGACAAGAAAAGTAATTGCTTTCCCAATAAGAACCTTGTTTGCAGGAGGTAATGAGAGCGAATCTCCATCTACCCCAATCTGGAGTGAATTGGGGGCATGGATGGGAATGCAGTGGATTGGCTGCAAGAAATGAACCCCCTGCCTTGCAAATTTTCAATAGTCTACTTTTCCTAATAGCGTGAATGGTGAAGCTGCCATTTTGAACTTGTCAAAGATACTTAACATTTTCCTTAAGATCTAAAGTTGACCAGTGATAATGCAAACATATGAATTCTGATTTCCATTGCATTACAGGTGATATTAAGTCATTGCGCACCATTATCAGTCCGGATATCTCGAAGTAAGTCACTCAATCAGCAACGGATATGTTAGCTAATGTAATGGCAAATTGCTGTCGAAGCTGGAAACCTGAAACAAGCAATGAGGGAGTGGAG